GTCCCCAAAGTAACAGGACAATATACTACAAGCATTCAAGGATTAAGCTCATAGCAGGAAAATTAGAACATCTGATGAACTGTTATTGCTCCATCAGCTGAGAGTTGCTGCGTGTGCACTATCAGCTTTGTTTAACTATGTTCCAAGAAAGTTTAAACAATATAATGGTTAAACAGGGAAAAGGGGGCAGGGACAGATGAAATGCGACAGGAAAGTATATCTGGTTACAAATGACTTTGCCTGAAGGTGCACACAGAGAAAAGCTATGGTATAAAGCAGCACTGCCTGTCCTCAAGTTCCCTCATCTAATGCTGCCATAGCAGTATCTATAACCCATAGGCTGAGATGCCACAGAGGCACCTACATTTTGATCTCCATTTGTCTCTGCTGAAAGAGAGTGCAGAACTAAAGTTACACAGAACTGAAGTTACACATTTGAAAACATCTATCAATAGCGATTTCTCAGGCATGAGCCTTATGTGTGCTGTCAAATTGTTAGGTGGGAAGTATTAGGTATTGCTGTTAATGTCTTTGCTGTTAATCATTTGCTTTGTCCTTGTCTGGTTGTTGCTCATTTTTACGTTCTTCAGATCACGCAAAAGGACAGACTGTCTGGCATTTAAGCTATGGAATTCAGTCTCCAATTAAGTCTCCTCTACCTTCAACACGTTAGGTAGAAAGAATCAGGAAGTAAACAGACTACCAAACAAGACCCAGTAGTCTACAATCTTCCATATTGTATTTATTCACCTCCTCATGAATGTGGGAAAGTAAAGATTATTGGGGAAAAAAAAAATAGCCTACACTAACTTTTCATTGGTGAGCAACTCACTCTACTAACAAAAAGGAAAAGGTACAGTCTCTTAATTAAACGTTGAACTCATGAAAGGCATTTAAAACTCAACACAAGGTTTTAGAAAATTTGAATTCAGAAGTGCACCTGTCAGTATTTGTAAATGGAGAAGACATCCTGGCTTGAGAAAATAAAAAATAAAAAAAGTCAGAGGAGAAACCACTATTAAGCCACTTGAGGTTATTTCCTTTAGAATAATCCTCCTGTGTGCCAAGTATATCTTAGCTGAAGCTCTCCTTAAGAATCTTCTAAATATTTGTTCACAGCACTGGGCTTTAAGTCTAAACATTCAAGTTTCTAAAGCTCTTTGTCAGGCCAGTTTACAGTCCTGCATGCTTTTCAAATAAAGACCTCAGTTATTTGCTCTTGTAAGTTTGCCTGCTTTTCCTGAACTTAGCTCGTTTCTCTTCTCATTTTATTACTTTGTTTTGAAAGTAACCATTTTCACTTACCTTTAAATTATTCCCTTTCTTTTCACTAGCCTTGAGGTTTATCAGTGGAAAGCATTTAATTCCTTGATGACCATGGTGGGCCACCAAAACAGATTTCCCAGTAAACAAGATGTAGTTCAGTGTTGCAAACCTTTGCTCATATAGTGGTATGAGGGTCAAGAGAGCTCCTCCTTGCATGAATAGCTCCTTTATCATTAAGCTGATGTTTCACAATCAGGATGGAGCAATAAAGAGTAAAAGTAAGGAACTAGAGAAGAGGGAAACGATCGCATTACACTTCATTTGCTTTTGTGTCCAAAACTCATTTGTACAGCAGGGTAAGAAAAGGTGCCATCACTGTGGGTCTCACAGCCTTCTCTCTCTTCCTCCTCCTAAAGAGTCCCAGGACTCTGAGCCATAGCAGCAAGGCAAGGCAAAGCTGTAGATATCTATACAACAGCCTACACACAGTTCAAAATCAAACACTTATATTATAAGGGTCTAAGTAGCATTACTCCAATAAGAGTTTAGGAAATACTTTCATGGCATTTATAATACTTGATAGCAAATAGATTCTTCACATAAGACTGCTAGGTACTGTTTTTAAGCTTATTCTTAGGTATTTAGGATTAGGGAAGAAACACCTCCTAGCTACCCTAAAACACTCATCTTACAAGATTTGTGAAAGTGTTTGTTATGTATTTCAATAAAGTTTATTGCAGTGTATTTCTACAGTAATCAAGTGTTGTGAAATCTTCTATTACAGAATACAAGCCCTAGAGAGTATTTGACAAAATACAACCCCCTGAAGAATCACTGAAGTTGTAGGTACAAACATGCCAGTCTCTATATGAATTGAAAATCTGTGCTGATAACCTCATCATTTTTTTTATACAGTTAAGATCACCCTACACATTTAACTTTGCATCCATTCCATACAGAACTTCCATTTCACTTACAGCTAACATTAGGCTGAGGTAACACACAAGCTAATCTGGGTGGGGAACAAGGGCAGCAGAGAGATCTGTCTCTGATTAAGTCAGTCCTTGTCACCTTTCAGCTGGCTCCTGCAAACAAAATTGGTATTGTTAGTTCAACTTAAATATTTATTGGCATCTTTGCATTTTAACAACCATTTAACTTTTTATATCTGGTTGTATTTGCTGAAAAACTTTATCCTATTTGTTTTAAATGCAGATATTGAAGAGAATATCAGACAAGTAATTAGAAGAGTTCAGTGTGGCTGTGAGGAGTCACATGAGCATCAGCGGGGACCACAAGCAGAGCGAGAGGAAAAGCTCTAAGATGATCTGGAGGCTGTGAAACTGAAAACAAAAGCTGGGAAATAAGTAAAGTCATGCAAAATTCTAAGAACTAATTCATGGAGTCCATGGAAGTGGCTCAGAGGAGCAAAAGAAAAGCGTGAGTAAAGAAAAAAAAACTTGCATTTTAAAGTCAGTGATGACAAATTGTAAAATACTATATTTGGAGGCTTTGTATGAGTGCAAGATGGCCAGGATTTGCCAAAAGAAAACAGAAATTTGTGATGTTTTAAAGAATCATCAAAACCTAACAGAAAAAGCATGGATAGCAGTCAACAAATGACCGTTACAAATACCATTTGCAGTATACTTTACAGCTTATTCAAGATGAAACCATTATTACCTTCTATGACTTCTTATTTATTTTCCCCCTCTTAGTTTCAGCTGGACTAAATTTCACCCTGTCACCCTCCTTTGTAGGAAATGCTACTTCTCTCCTTCCAATCACTTCTCACACTGAATAAGAACAGCAACAAAACTACAAATCCAGAATAAAGCAAATAGTGAAGTTCCCAGACACCAGTAAGCGTGAAAGAGCAAGCAAAAATTTTAGCTAAACTGGGCTGAAGATGACAGCAGAATATCTACAAGGGATCATCAGACCAGCAATATTGGACAGGGAAAGTTAAGGTATAATTGGAAGTAGTACAGAGGCAAAACAGGAATACAAGAATATCACCAGGAGCCAACACACTGAGGAGGGAAGTCCCTCCTCCACTTTGTGGTGTGCAGAGGTACTCAAACCAATTACTTTGATCTGCCTATAGTTTGCCTCATACTGCTTTTCTTCTCATCAACTCTGCATCCATCCGCACTCTACAATACACTATCTCATATGGTCCATCTGCCCTAGAATTTCTTTTCCTAGTCATTTTTTGTTTTAGAAAAAAACCTTTCTGCTGCTACAGGATTAATTGTGGTAAGGGTCAAAGAAAAACACTAGCTAAATAATTCCCTCATACCAGCGTGAATTTTATCCTAAACTGAGCCAGAATCTAGATTCTGAATTATATCAGCAGCAAGTTAAACACGGCAGGCTTAAGGCACACCCTAATCCAGATGAGGTTCTTCCCCTGGGAATAGATAACCTAGAGTAAGATTTCAGTAAGACTGTAGTGCAGCAAAACACGCATGTCTTTCATTTTCCAGCATCCCTTCATAATTTCAAGCCTCTATTCACTGCTTCACTGCATACTACAAAACCGTAATTAACAGAAAGCACTAAGACAGAAACGGTGAGGACACTACCAAAAGAAAGCTCTATCTGAAGCAGACACGAAGCAGTCACTGGCTGAAGGAATAAGTGTTAAACCACAAACTTGTAGCATCAAGAACCATATCTCTTCAAAGCTCGCACAGAACTGATCATGTCAACAGAATGAATGAGTCATTTTCCTAGTATTTTAGTAGACTTTTAGTAAATTTTAAGAATAAAATTAAGAAGAAAAAAAAAAAGCCCAAAGCATGATGACCATAAGATCTAGTCAATATAAACATTTCTGAAATAAAGTCCTGAGGGACTCCTTTTCACCACCAGAGTCCCACGTATCTGGGCAGCCTATTTTCCATGGCTCACCTCTGCTCGCCACTACGTTTCAATTGACACCACATCCATCAAAAGGCGCTAAGTTTATACTACTCCGACACTTACTATATGATATCGATTAATGATCAGTTTTGAAGAGGCATTCTGCCAGATAGGAAATGAGGCAATTATCAGCTCCTTATGTCTCAGAAACAAGTCACTCGCCCAAAGTGGAATCTCAGCGCAAGGACTGCGAGCATCCCTGCGTACAAGGCGTTCATTTCTGACCTGCCTGCACCTCTCCTTCAGGCTTGTAGCCTGACTGACCTCGCGGACCTCTGCTCAGACCCCCCACACACGTTTTCCTCACAACGAGAGCATTCACTACGGAAAAAAAAAAAAAAGAAGGCGAGAAAAAATAAATACGAATCCAGACCAAACTGAAAAGGATCAAGTCTTGGCTTCACCTACTCTTCCTCACACACAACGTCCATTGAGGCAGGAGAAACCACTCTGGGTGCTGAAACAAGAGCTGCATTGACAACCAACACGCCGGGCAGGAGCGAGAGCACCCACTCGGCCACCTCCTCATCCCCACGCGCGAGGAGCGCCTACCCCGAGGCACCCCAGGCTCTTTCATCGCGGGGATGAGGAGCGGGTTCCTACCTAATCGCTCTGCCATTAAGCCGCGTAGGCGGGCGGAGATCGTTCCCCGCACTCCCGGGACAGTTTCAGGGATCCGCTGGGCTTTGCGAAGAGGACACGGCCGCCGGCTTCCCCGCGGGCAGCCCAGCTCTGCCCCGCTGCGTTCCGCCCCGGGCGCCCGCCGGCACCTGCCGCCCTGCCCGGCACCCCCGTCCCCACCGTACCTGCAGGATCTTGTCCAGCCCCTCCTGGCCCAGGCAGGGGAACTGCTTGAGTAGCTCCGTCTTCTGCCGTTTGTAGTCGTCGGTAGCCGAGCGCCAGTGCGGCTCCTCAAGCACCTCGAAGATCGCCGCCCCGATGGACAGGTAGAAGATGATGGCCGAGGTCAGCAAGGGGCCCCTGTCCACCATGGTGCCGCGGCGCGCGGGCGGGGAGGGCGGATGGGCGGGCGGCTGCCCCACGCTGCGGCAGAGGGTGCCCGAAACCGCCCTGTCCTTCCCCTGACACCTCTGCCTTCCCTGCCGTCCGCCGTGCCTCCTCTCCGGCCTCTGCCGCTTTCCCTTAGAGCCTTCCACACTCCCCTCCCACTCTCCTCCTCCCTCTCTCCTCCTCCGCTCCTCTCCGTTCCCCCTGGCTTGCCTCCTTCCCCCGTGTATTTTCCCCTCCCTTCTCAGCAACGATTTGAATTTGGTGCCCTCCCGCTTCCTCCCCCGCCGCCCGCCCAGCTGCGCGCATGCGAGGCCGCCGCCGGTGCGCCCCGAGGTGCCGCCGGCCCCGCCGCGAGGCGCTCCCCGCCCCGCGGCCGCGGCGAGGGGCGGCCGCTGGGGCCCGCCAGGGGGAGAGGGGGACGTGCGACCTCCCCTCCTTTCCCCTCCCCCGCTGCTGTTGGGAGAGGGCGTGGGGGCCGCCGAGGTGACGCCCTGTGGCCGCGCTGCCCTGGGCGCTTTTCCATTCTTCGAGGAAAGAAGGGGCGACATCCCTCCGCGACGTGTTTTTATTATTATCTGGGGCTCGTGTTTGGGGGATTGTCAGAGGTCGTGAAACGAGACCTCTGACAAAGTGCTGGAGCAAAGTCGTCGAGAGCTCTGAGGAGGATGGAAAGAGCAGCAGGCAGGCTTCAACCTGACAGTGACCCAGGGCACTAGAGACCTTTCAAAGCAGGAACAGCATCTCTTCCTTCGTGCCTATTGTACGCTCAATAAATCATACCTTTCTGCATTGTTCCTGTGTGTGGGTGTTGTGAGTTTGGCAGCAAGGGTGAGACCCTAGAAGTGACTCCCTAGCTAACTGGAGAGACCTGATAGCAACCTTTCAGTGTCTAAAGGTGGGCTTTTAGAAAGAAGGGGACTCTTTAGCAGGGCGGGCTGCGAGAGGACAAAGAGAGATGGTTTCAAACTAAAAGAGGGGAGGATTTAGACCAAATTTAATGAAAAAGCTTTTTACAATAAGCGTGGTGAGGTATGGGAACAACCTACTCAGAGAATAGGATGTCCCATCCCTAGAGACACTCAAGGCCAGGCTGGATGGGGCTCTGAGTACCTGATCTAGCTGTGGCTATCCCTGTTCATTGCAGGGAGTTGTACGAGATGGTCTTTAGAAAGGGTCCCATTCAAGTCAAACGATTCTATAATTCTGTGCGAGTGGTTCAAACCCTTTGATGGTAAAGTTCACCAGCTTTCTCTACTGGTGGAATCATTCTCGGGCATTGCTCACAGGCTCCGTGGTTACATGGAACGTGGCTTGCCTGTTTTTTTGTGAATAGGTTTGGAAATGGGATTTTAAAAGTGGGGGAAGGAATCACAGAATGGCTTACCTTGGGGGGGAACTCAAAGCCTCCACAGTTCCAACCCTCCAACCCCTTGCCATGGGCAGGATTGCCGTGCACCAGCTCAGGCTGCCTAGGGCCTCACCCAACCTGGCCTTGACACCTCCAGGGATGCACCCACCATTTATAGCTTCTCTGAGCAACCTGCTGTTCACTACCTTCTGAGTAAATAATTTGTTTCTGACATCCCACCTCAATCTCCCCTCTTTTAGTTTAAAGCCATTTTCCCTTGTCATATCAGTATCGGACTGTGGAACAATTTGGTCCCCCTCCTGCTGCAATGAGGTCTCTCCACATCCTTCTCTTCTCCAAGCTAAGCAAACCCAACTCTTTCAACCTTTCATCATAGGAGAGGTGCTCTAGCCCTTTGATCATCCTTGTGGCCCCCTTTTTGTCCTGAAGTAGCATGTCAGTGACAGAATGTAGCATTGTGTTGTTAAATGACATGACAAAGGGCTCTCACTCCTTCAGCCCCTTTCCCCCCAAACTGGAAGAAAATAATAAAGAAAATTGAGGTGTTCATAGGACTTCAGGATGCTTGGGATATCAGCTGAAGCTCACGCTACAAAAGCCAGCTGAAATTTCTCACATAAACCTGACTGAAATAAGAGAAGGGAGAATAGAGAGTTTGGGAAGAGGGAGGAAACAAGGAGAAAATACACAAAGTATGAGAAAAGTAAAAGGAGAGCATGTGGAGAGCAAAGAAACTGCCCCAGTTGGGAGGTATCCATAGACATCTATCTCTAAAACTTTGACTCGTGCCAAATGGATGCTCGTGTGAGACTGCCCACAGAAATTTATGTGGCCTGTAAGCATTACTACCTACTAGCTGGTATAGTGCTTTGTGAAAATACATCTGAGAGGCTCCTGGCAGCCTAAAAGCAGGATTGGAGAAACCACAAAATCCACAAGCATGTTACGTGATCAGCATCGCTGTGTTCGCATGGGATTCCCCAGTTATGTAAAGGCAACATTAAGAAGACAAAAGGAGTTCTGAACTGTAGTAGTAAAAAATCAAAATGGGAATTAGGTACCAGAGGAGAGATGAAGTAGAAGATGACATTAAGAACATTTTTAAAATAATGACATAGGGGAACTAAAGTAATTTATTTTAAGCAAAAACAGGGGACATTTCATGACGTTGGGAGGTAGAACTCTTAATCACACACACACACACACACAAAAAGGTTTCATGGTTACATGGGAAAATTATTCCCATGTGTTATCACTTGGCCCAAGACCTTTGCAAGACTTGAAAAACCATTGGCCATATAAATGAATGACATGAGCATCCATCATTGCATTACTTAATGATTTAAATTTAAAGTAAAAAATTGTAAGGTATGTAAAAACTTACAGTGAGAGCTCTCCAATAGTACAAACTATAATGTAATTCTCCTTTTGGCGTTCCCACACCTTCTTCTGAATCACCTGCAAATGGTTAGGATATTCCAACAGCAGGAACAGAAGTCTGACACATTATAGCAGTGTTACACTTGTGTGTTCCTGACCCTGAACATCTGTGCTTCATAACTGGAAGGTATTTAATTCAATTTTGAAACTGTACTCTTCTCCATCTGTCTCCAAGTCTCTAAAGTCCCATTTATATCATTGAAACTCTATCCTAAAGGGATGAGGAGTGGCACAAATGACCCTGGACCTACTGCAATTGTATAATGTGGATGAGAACAAAACCACTTTCAGGTATTTTATAGAAAGTTTGTTTGTGATTTTGATTCAACATTTCTGCTCTCTGCTCTAAACTCGCAATCACTGATTGCTTAATTAGTGCTCTCAGTAACTGAGTCAGTCAGTGTTTGAAAACAAACAAACCTGCAAATCACATACCATTTTTCCCTATGTTGAAATGCTATTGCACTTGCTAGACTGTCTCCTTGTGTTTCTCTGAATTTCAAAGAGATAAGCCTGGTAAGGAATATTGTCTAGAAGAATAGCCCATTCCCTGATGAACAGTAGCCAACTGCTCCTGCAAGTTAGAAGTGATCCTCTGTGTACCAACAAACTTCTTGTATTTACATATTCCACTTTGATTTCTTTATCTTCTGCAGAGCAAATTATAAGGCATTTTCTCATGTCCAAGTGAGTGTGACAAGAAAGAATGTTTCTATAGCTGGTCTCCCTTTGCACCTCCTGATTTAAAATGCTTCTCCTGACCTCATGAAATGTCCCATATTCTTTTATTCATGGCCGTTTTAAACTCTGTTTCCCTTGGATTAAACAGTACTCCCATTGTTAACACACAGCACCTGCCACATAGGCCCCACAGCTTTTCATGCTAGCTAAATTAATGAAAAGGCTGGGGTTATTCACTCAAATGCTTTTAAATCTCATTAAAAAATCAGGGGAGAAACAACAGATAGTACTGTGGTGAGTAATACCACAAGTATCAATCATTTGTTTTATTTGCAGAGGTCATTATTCAGGCTGTCCAGTCCAAAAGGAAATCTCTTTCATTCAAGCTGTATGTCTAAGACACATTTGCTGTACAGATGTTTCCTAGAACAGCCTGAAATGAATAAATGTCAGAAAATATTTTAGATGGAGCAAATAAAAGACATTATTTTGGCGAAGGAAACCTGTCATGTAATGGCAAAGTCCGCGTATTGAATTGAGTATGAACAAGGAAAAACACTTAGGCTTCTTCAAGTTTGTGCTATTTTTTGCTTGGAAGTTTATTTTTGGCTGATCGATTGCTCTGTTCTGTATGATACCTGTCAATTCTACATCATTCTGTTTTCTTTATCCATCACAACTTAGGCACCTTCAATATTGTTTTCAAGCATTATACATCTAGCCATAGTTTTAAGTAAGCTGAGGTGTGTACTATCTTGACTAGCAGTTCTGCTTCTTTGGAAAAGTTGTTTATGCACAGAAAGGGTAAGGCTGGTCTGCAGATGATGCAGAACTTTATATGAGACATTTGTAGAAAGTTCAAATTTTTTCCATGTGCTCATTCACACCTTTTGGCCTAAATGTTTATACGTAGCACATTTTGTGTCCATGTGTGTTGTACCATGAATGTACAGTAATATATTCTAAATCAGAAACAGAATAAAAACTTTACCAAAATAATGCACATACCACCGCAACAGACTTCTTCACCCATGGTCAGATAATGAGTGAACAAACACCACATGACAGATGTTAGTCATACCGCTTAATGAATAACTGGTGATGTGTACAATACCTGTGTAGAATAGCTATAATGTGTTCAATGAAGTTTACACATTTGGACCACCTTTTCTTTTTTTTTTTTGCAGAGGTATCCACAGTGCTCAAAATAAATGTCTTCATAAATGAAGTCGAAATAGTTCAACTTTTTTTTTTTTTTTTAAATATTTTCTTAACTGCCATGTTTTTCAGCCATCTACAACAGTTTTGGGATCTTTGTAACTGAATGATGAAACCCTATTTCCTTCAAAGTATTTTACAAAGAAAGACTCTAGCCTTCACTTTTTACTTCACCATGACCTGAATCCTGCAGCTGAATGCTGGTAGTTCCGAGTACTTACTATAGACCTTGACTTTGACATTTGTGCATGTGATCTGGACAGTTCAGAATACAGCTGCCCAAAAAAAGTACAGCTTGGACAATACTGGCCCTGAACTGGGTTTATCTTCATGACACCTGCAGCACATTAGTATTCTAGATGGTGTGCTGGAGGCTGTTTTAGTACCATGGCAACAGAATCATCCATGAATAATCCAACAATCTGTTATGTTGTTATGTAAAACATTGCTGCTGAGTCTTATTTTGGTGTGATTAAGAAAGAGTTAAATTCTATTTGTGTACAGTAATATGTGTGAATGTCTACACATTTCACTGAGATTTGCATGCCAAACCAGTTTAAATTAACTTG